AATCAAGCCATAAAGACAATTAACTAATCTGTCCATAAGAATGAGAGCACAAAGCTACAAACTGACCGTAGTAGTACTTTATTAATTCCATGAAACGTTTGTATAAAATTGGGCATAAAAAAAAAATCTTAGCTAATTGTTCACAAACTGGTAATTATATATATTAAAAGGTGGTAATTATATATATTAAAGAAAAACCATTTTTCCAACACTAGCTATTAGCTAGCTTAAAGCAAGAAAATAATAAAATACAGTATCATTAATAATTAATGAAGAAAATATTTTTATCGCTAACCGATGGAATACATTTTACTTGTAAAAGAATTTCGAAGTAAATACTTATGAAACAAATCAAGCCATTAAGACAATTAACTAATCTGTCCATAAGAATGAGAGCACAAAGCCACAAACTGACCGTAGTAGTACTTTATTAATTCCATGAAACGTTTGTATAAAATTGGGCATAAAAAAAAGAATCTTAGCTAATTGTTCACAAACTGGTAATTATATATATTAAAAGGTGGTAATTATATATATTAAAGAAAAACCATTTTTCCAACACTAGCTATTAGCCTAAAGCAAGAAAATGATAAAATACAGTATCATTAATAATTAATGAAAAAAATATTTTTATCGCTAACTGATGGAATACATTTTACTTGTAAAAGAATTTTGAAGTAAATACTTATGAAACAAATCATACCATAAAGACAATTAACTAATCTGTCCATAAGAATGAGAGCACAAAGCCACAAACTGACCGTAGTAGTACTTTATTAATTCCATGAAACGTTTGTACAAAATTGGGCATAAAAAAAGAATCTTAGCTAATTGTTCACAAACTGGTAATTATATATATCAAAAGGTGGTAATTATATATAATAAAGAAAAACCATTTTTGCAACACTAGCTATTAGATTAAAGCAAGAAAATGATAAAACACAGTATCATTAATAATTAATGAAGAAAATATTTTGATCACTAACCGATGAAATACATTTTACTTGTAAAAGAATTTTGAAGTAAATACTTATGAAACAAATCAAGCCATAAAGACAATTAACTAATCTGTCCATAAGAATGAGAGCACAAAGCCACAAACTGACCGTAGTAGTACTTTATTAATTCCATGAAACGTTTGTATAAAATTGGGCATAAAAAAAAGAATCTTAGCTAATTGTTCACAAACTGGTAATTATATATATTAAAGAAAAACCATTTTTCCAACACTAGCTATTAGCTTAAAGCAAGAAAATGATAAAATACAGTATCATTAATAATTAATGAAGAAAATATTTTTATCGCTAACCGATGGAATACATTTTACTTGTAAGAGAATTTTGAAGTAAATACTTATGAAACAAATCAAGCCATAAAGACAATTAACTAATCTGTCCATAAGAATGAGAGCACAAAGCCACAAACTGACCGTAGTAGTACTTTATTAATTCCATGAAACGTTTGTATAAAATTGGGCATAAAAAAAGAATCTTAGCTAATTGTTCACAAACTGGTAATTATATATATTAAAAGGTGGTAATTATATATATTAAAGAAAAACCATTTTTCCAACACTAGCTATTAGCTTAAAGCAAGAAAATAATAAAATAAAGTATCATTAATAATTAATGAAGAAAATATTTTTATCGCTAACCGATGGAATACATTTTACTTGTAAAAGAATTTCGAAGTAAATACTTATGAAACAAATCAAGCCATAAATAAAGACAATTAACTAATCTGTCCATAAGAATGAGAGCACAAAGCCATAAACTGACCGTAGTAGTACTTTATTAATTCCATGAAACGTTTGTATAAAATTGGGCATAAAAAAAAGAATCTTAGCTAATTGTTCACAAACTGGTAATTATATATATCAAAAGGTGGTAATTATATATAATAAAGAAAAACCATTTTTCCAACACTAGCTATTAGCTTAAAGCAAGAAAATAATAAAACACAGTATCATTAATAATTAATGAGGAAAATATTTTTATCGCTAACCGATGGAATACATTTTACTTGTAAAAGAATTTTGAAGTAAATACTTATGAAACAAATCAAGCCATAAAGACAATTAACTAATCTGTCCATAAGAATGAGAGCACAAAGCCACAAACTGACCGTAGTAGTACTTTATTAATTCCATGAAACGTTTGTATAAAATTGGGCATAAAAAAAAGAATCTTAGCTAATTGTTCACAAACTGGTAATTATATATATTAAAAGGTGGTAATTATATATATTAAAGAAAAACCATTTTTCCAACACTAGCTATTAGCTTAAAGCAAGAAAATGATAAAATACAGTATCATTAATAATTAATGAAGAAAATATTTTTAGCGCTAACCGATGGAATACATTTTACTTGTAAAAGAATTTGGAAGTAAATACTTATGAAACAAATCAAGCCATAAAGACAATTAACTAATCTGTCCATAAGAATGAGAGCACAAAGCCACAAACTGACCGTAGTAGTACTTTATTAATTCCATGAAACATTTGTATAAAATTGGGCATAAAAAAAAATCTTAGCTAATTGTTCACAAACTGGTAATTATATATATTAAAAGGTGGTAATTATATATATTAAAGAAAAACCATTTTTCCAACACTAGCTATTAGCTTAAAGCAAGAAAATAATAAAATACAGTATCATTAATAATTAATGAAGAAAATATTTTTATCGCTAACCGATGGAATACATTTTACTTGTAAAAGAATTTCGAAGTAAATACTTATGAAACAAATCAAGCCATAAAGACAATTAACTAATCTGTCCATAAGAATGAGAGCACAAAGCCACAAACTGACTGTAGTAGTACTTTATTAATTCCATGAAACGTTTGTATAAAATTGGGCATAAAAAAAGAATCTTAGCAAATTGTTCACAAATTGGTAAATATATATATTAAAAGGTGGTAATTATATATATTAAAGAAACCCATTTTTCCAACACTAGCTATTAGCTTAAAGCAAGAAAATGATAAAATACAGTATCATTAATAATTAATGAAGAAAATATTTTTATCGCTAACCGATGGAATACATTTTACTTGTAAAAGAATTTTGAAGTAAATACTTATGAAACAAATCAAGCCATAAAGACAATTAACTAATCTGTCCATAAGAATGAGAGCACAAAGCCACAAACTGACCGTAGTAGTACTTTATTAATTAATTCCATGAAACATTTGTATAAAATTGGGCATAAAAAAAAGAATCTTAGCTAATTGTTCACAAACTGGTAATTATATATATTAAAAGGTGGTAATTATATATATTAAAGAAAAACCATTTTTTCAACACTAGCTATTAGCTTAAAGCAAGAAAATGATAAAATACAGTATCATTAATAACTAATGAAAAAAATATTTTTATCGCTAACTGATGGAATACATTTTACTTGTAAAAGAATTTTGAAGTAAATACTTATGAAACAAATAAAGCCATAAAGACAATTAACTAATCTGTCCATAAGAATGAGAGCACAAAGCCACAAACTGACCGTAGTAGTACTTTATTAATTCCATGAAACGTTTGTATAAAATTGGGCATAAAAAAAAGAATCTTAGCTAATTGTTCACAAACTGGTAATTATATATATCAAAAGGTGGTAATTATATACTCCGTATAATAAAGAAAAACCATTTTTCCAACACTAGCTATTAGCTTAAAGCAAGAAAATGATAAAACACAGTATCATTAATAATTAATGAAGAAAATATTTTTATCGCTAACCGAGGGAATACATTTTACTTGTAAAAGAATTTTGAAGTAAATACTTATGAAACAAATCATGCCATAAAGACAATTAACTAATCTGTCCATAAGAATGAGAGCACAAAGCCACAAACTGACCGTAGTAGTACTTTATTAATTCCATGAAACGTTTGTATAAAATTGGGCATAAAAAAAGAATCGTAGCTAATTGTTCACAAACTGGTAATTATATATATTAAAAGGTGGTGATTATATATATTAAAGAAACACCATTTTTCCAACACTAGCTATTAGCTTAAAGCAAGAAAATGATAAAATACAGTATCATTAATAATTAATGAAGAAAATATTTTTATCACTAACCGATGCAATACATTTTACTTGTAAAAGAATTTTGAAGTAAATACTTATGAAACAAATCAAGCCATAAAGACAATTAACTAATCTGTCCAAAAGAATGAGAGCACAAAGCCACAAACTGACCGTAGTAGTATTTTATTAATTCCATGAAACGTTTGTATAAAATTGGGCATAAAAAAAGAATCTTAGCTAATTGTTCACAAACTGGTAATTATATATATTAAAAGGTGGTAATTATATATATTAAAGAAAAACCATTTTTTCCAACACTAGCTATTAGCTTAAAGCAAGAAAATGATAAAATACAGTATCATTAATAATTAATGAAGAAAATATTTTTATCGCTAACCGGTGGAATACATTTTACTTGTAAAAGAATTTTGAAGTAAATACTTATGAAACAAATCAAGCCATAAAGGCAATTAACTAATCAGTCCATAAGAATGAGAGTACAAAGCCACAAACTGACCGTAGTAGTACTTTATTAATTCCATGAAACGTTTGTATAAAATTGGGCATAAAAAAAAGAATCTTAGCTAATTGTTCACAAACTGGTAATTATATATATTAAAAGGTGGTAATTATATATATTAAAGAAAAACCATTTTTCCAACACTAGCTATTAGCTTAAAGCAAGAAAATGATAAAATACAGTATCATTAATAATTAATGAAGAAAATGTTTTTATCGCTAACCGATGGAATACATTTTACTTGTAAAAGAATTTCGAAGTAAATACTTATGAAACAAATCAAGCCATAAAGACAATTAACTAATCTGTCCATACGAATGAGAGCACAAAGCCACAAACTGACCCTAATAGTACTTTATTAATTCCATGAAACGTTTGTATAAAATTGGGCATAAAAAAAAGAATCTTAGCTAATTGTTCACATAAAGCAAAAGATAAGAATACCTTTCTGCTTTAGAAAAGAAAGCCCTCGACTTGCCTGCAAGTTAAGACATCTAGCTCCCTATATATCCATTGTCGGCTCATCCCATGCCATACAAATAAGTGTTTAATTTATTCATATATCTTCCTAATTAGCATTAATATTTCGATCTCCTTCTTTAATAATTATATACTAGTATAATAGTTTGATGATCTGGTGTTGATTGTTCTTCAAATCGGTCGTACAAACTGTTGACCAAAGCTTCCCAACCGCCGAACTAATTAATTTGTTAAGCAAATGAGGTAATAATGAATTATACTACGTAATAAATATATGGGCATATATAATCTTTCTATCTTTTAATTTCTGCTAAATAAACATTCAATTTATATTGATCTTTTGATTTAAAATTCATGGCAATTATTAAGGTCTCGTCGAACAGCCCCAGATCCTACAATGCCTCCAGTGTTTGTAGATCCCAGGGCAGATGAATGGGAGCAACGTGAGTTGGACAAGATCAGAAAGTGGTATTATACATATATTATTCCCTATTTATTGTATACACTTGAAACTTACAAATTAAAATTAAGATATATATAAAGCTTGCGACAATTAATATACGGAGTATTTGAAAATAGAAATCAAATACAAACCCTCCTTAATATACAAATTACAAACTCAACTTGACCTTGTGACGAGTTGATCTGACTATAAAGGCAATGTGACACTTTTACAATAAAAGCCAACTTTTTTAGAATGCAACTCTTTGAACGTTAATATGCAACTGCTATTTTATGCCTAAATAATACGGAGTATGCAACATTTTGAACTTCAATATGCAATACAAATTATGTAAAAATGCATCGTACAAACGTTTGCATGATAAACACACTTTGTACATGATCCAAACCCCTTTTTTTATTAGGTCAGTGAAAACAGTTTGTCACTTTATTTATAGAGTAATAGTAATACATTATTAAATTTGTTATTGTTTCTCTCTTTGGTAAAACTTTAGACATATATATGGACATTTTTAATTATTATTACTACATTAGTAATACATTATTAAATTTGTTATTGATCCAAACCCCTTTTCTTATATGGACATTTTTAATTACTTATTCAAAGTGCTAGTCAAACTCGATCAATTTTAATTAGTGGGATAATTGGAATAAAAGTTCTCTTGGGACATAACATAAGATACTCCCTTATTGTAAACTTTTTCTTATTTGGTGGCCCAAAAAAATTTATTTCTCTTTATAAAAAGAAATTTATGGTTTATATTCATCCCGAAAAACTTCAATTGTACACTTGTTTGTTCTTATTCGATGTGATCAGGGTTGGAGACAGGGAGGGGCTGGAGGGGGCCTCGGCCCCCTGCAAGGAAAAAAATTCTTAAGTATATATTATGTATAAATATACATTTAATCTATAGAAAACATGTTGATATTTTAAACTTTGGCCCCTGCAAAGTAAAATTTTCAAGAACCGGCCCCTTTAACTATAGACTTCTGGCTCCGCCACTGGATGTGATGAATGTCAAATTTGATAATTAGAAGAGTTAATATAAGAATGTATTTTTAATACGGAGTAGAAGGTAATTCCATTCTTCCAAAAAAAGAAAATAAAAAGTAATTCTATTGCAACCATAATGTTTTTAATTAAGAGGTTTAACCTAGCTACCTTGATAATGTATCATAATCGCCCTCCACTGATTGTACGTGTTTCACTGATTATGTTTCAGGTATGGTGAGCAGGAAGAAACAATTGCAAAATGGGAAAATGAGAATAAAAACAAAGCAGAACTTAAGCTCAAAAAAATTAAGGTTGGGATTTTACTATTCATTTAATTTGTTTTAATATTCAACTTTCACATACCCACTTCTCAATCAAATTTCAATATAATACTAGTATAATACTACACCTACATAGAGAATTGTTAAATTTGATGCTACATAAGAGTTCTTACAAGATGAAAAATGTATATGAATAATTATTCAAAGTAATACGTAGTATAACATTATAATTAATAATAGTTTCTTCTTAATTCGATCAATATATCCTCATCATCACTAGGCTGAATTGGAAGAGAAGATTGCAAGAGCTGTTGAGAATTTCGAAGAAAAAGTTAAATGGATAGAAAACACATCAAGAAAAGCAATGACACAAGTGGAAAAAGAGAAGAAAAGGGAAGAGCAGAAGGTGAAGGAAGAGGCCAATCAGTTAAGATTTACTGGCATCCTCCCGGAACAAACAACTTGTTCCCTCATGTAGCTATTGAAACTCCCTCATCACGTTTTTATCCAAACATTTGCTCATCAAAGGAGTTTTAAATTTTAATGGTAGCTAAATAACATTTTAATGAAATTTAATAGCAATACAATAACAATTATAATCATAATCTAATCTAACAACATGATAATAGTGAATAATGGTCAACATCCCTGTAATATGTCAATATATATTATGCATATACTCTTTTAGTAAAACTTTGTACTATATACATTCAATTTAACTCAAGTGCCTCATTAAAGTTAGAACTTTAGGTTCGGTTAATGGGGCCTTAAATGTAAATTTGAAAAGTGAGTTGTATATTAAAAATAACCCCCAAGTTTTTTGCTTCCATAACCTTTCATCATATATAATTTCTTAGTTCCTATCAAGCAACTTCTAGACTAAAAAAAGTCACATGAATAAAATTTAATTCACTAAATTCTACAGGTAAATCTTACAAAAGTGAAGTATAGTCATTGTTATAAACATTCATCGAGTCTACTTATTGGCTGCACGGGTTCTTAGTTGGTACAAGAATGAAAATTTGGAACTAGGACTCGCAATTTAATCTTGTCACCCGTAGTTTGGAGTTTATTAAAAGTAAGGGGTTCCTTGTGTACAATGGATATTTTAACTTAGTCACCATGATTTTAAACCCTTTAACCTACTCTGTCACACATAAGTGTGGGGGAATTCCGAGTGGAGATTTAACTCTTTAAACAATTACGTACACCTGTTACAAACTTACAATATTGCCGTTGTTCAATGTGTAAAGAAATTTATGGTTTATATTCATCTAGACAAACTTCAACAATGCAATTCTTTTTTGTTTCTTAAGCGTGTTTTTTTATTGAGACACAAATCCTTCACAACAATTTTGTTTTAATTAAGAGGTTCTCTCAAATTAAGCTACATTGATATTGTTATTATAGTCTCCCTTCACTGATTGTTTTCAGGCATGGTGAGGAGGAAGAAATAATTGCAAAATGGGAAAATGAAAATAAGAACAAAGCCGAACTGAAGCTCAAAAAAGTTAAGGTTGTTTTACTATTAATTGTTTCCCTACATAGAGAATTGTTAATTTTGATGCTACTTAACAGTTAATAAAAAAGCAAAAAACTGCTTATGAAAAATCAGTTATTCAAAGTAATATAACATTGTAATTCATGACTGCTTCTTAACTCGATCAATATCCTCATTATCATAAGGCTGAATTAGAAGAGAAGATTGCAAGAACTGTTGCGAATTTCGAAGAAAAATTTAAATGGATAGAGAACACATCAAGAAAAGCAATGTCACAAGTGGAAAAAGAGAAGAAACGAGAAGAGCAGAGGGTGAAGGAAGATGCCAACCAGTTAAGGTTTACTGGTATCCTCCCAGAGCAAACGACTTGTTCCCTCATGTAGCTACTGAATCGATCTCATCACAAATTTATCTCCAGATTTGCTCTTTAAAGGAGTTCCATATTTTAATAGTAGCTTTAATGACTTTTTAATGACTTCTAATAGAAACAATAACAATTATAGTTATAATCTAACAACATTATTGTACATAATCCCTGTAGTATGTCAATAATTCTCTAATTGGAAAAAATACATACATATGAGTTGATGGTACCATGGATCACAGCCATGACCCAAGATTGAATTAAAGCAAAGCCCATCAACGGGATCAGCCCATTTACGGGATCATCCCATCTACGGGATCAGCCCTCAACGGGATCAGCCCTCAACGGGATCAGCCTAATTAACAGGATTAGCCCATAAACAGGAGTAATATCGGATGAGCCACTTGACCCATGGGGAATCAGGCTCACGATAGGAACCCACAGCCAGGCCGGGCTGGACAGCAGACCTCGAGCCTGAGCGGATTTCTAGTGAGGCCTGGATATTCCTGAGGTCTACGTGGCAAGGTACCATTCGATATAGATATTTGGAAACAGAGGAGTTCGTGGACAAGAAGGAAACAATTATGGCGTGAGAATCAAGCATCGAAGGAGTTCTGTTTCGAGCAAGAATATAGTTCATTAATTGAACATTTATTGTATTAGATTCCACCCATAATTCTACTTCATAATCTCTATAAATACTTGATGTAAACACCCTACCAAGGGATCGGACCCCCGATAAAATTCTGAACCGAGGCTAGACGAATGCTAGTTCTCCGGAATAAAGAGTAAAACTGCCTTACGCTGCCATATTATTCTCATATCTACGTATATTTAGCTCTCGTAGTTGGATTTAACTCCATCATTTTGTGCTCTCGTCGAGAGACGAATATACGAAGCAGCGATGGTTGTATCGAATAGCCATAATCGCGTTGGTAGCAATCAAGGCGGAGATCGTTTCAATCATGTTACGGTTGAAGATGAAGGGTCAAGGTCCCGAAGGAGCGATTTTAGGAGGCGTAACGACAACGCAGCCGCACAAGGCGATTTGAGGAACCAGATTCGTGGTGTGGGGAATCCTGGGGACCCGGTGGTGCGTCTACCGCAGCTCCAAACGCCGGGTACTGGGCATAACATCCCCGCCATGGATCCCACATAGGCTTTGGCGAGTTTGGCCACGTTCCAGAGGGCGGTGGAGACTTTGACAACTGCATTCTAAGGTATCATTCTGAATCCTACTGGGAGACCTCCTTCCCCTCGCCAGGCTCCATTTGTGGCTTCGCGGGGAGAAGAGAACTCTCTCCTGCGCACGAGGAATTCTCAACCTGCCCAGTCTCAGCGCTCCCACCGATCCAGGGCAACTCCCAGGATTCTGGTGGTAAACCGGACAAATGAGCAAAGGATTTCTATACATGATAGACTCTCCTCTAGGGTTGAGCACAGTGAGGGGGCCTCTTCGGCTGCCGTTTCGTCCCATCGCCAAAGTGCGCAAAGGGGAGATCTCAGGAACGAGATCAACGCGAATAGGCAAGCCCGAAGAGATCGCCGGTCTCCAGTGCGCCCTCAAGTCGGCCATAATAATACCGACCTCAGGAGAAGGTTAGACGAGCTCAGAAGGGAGATGGAAGGAAGATCAAGTCTCGAGCATGGCGTGCGAATTCCCGAGCCTTTTACTAGGCAAATCATGGAGGCACCATTGCTCAGGGATACCGGCCATGCAACATTGAGGCTTACAAGGGAAAAACGGACCCTCAGCACCACGTTTCCAGATACGTGGCTTATATGGTCATGATGGGATATGACGACGCTATAAAGTGTGGAGGATTCTCGGTAACCCTAGACGGGCTAGCACGAGAATGGTACGACTCTCTGCCAGATGGAGGAATAGGGAACTTCCGGGAGTTGGCTCACACATTCGTGACGCGTTTTGCCACCTCCAAGGACTCCAAAAACAATGTCTCTCACCTTCTGGGAATCAAACAGGACCCCCAAGAAACCCTGATTGATTTCCTGGGTCGTTGGAGGGAGGAGACAGACAAGGTAGAAGACCTGGATGACAAGTCTGCTGTGGCTATCCTCACCAATGCTCTGAGGTTGGGCGAACTATACAAAGACTATACGCAGGCCCCCGACCTCCCACGAGGAGGCTCTGTTGCGCGCTAAGGCACAAGTCGAGGTCGAGGAAGCCAAGAAACGAAAGAGAGACGAGGAATCAGGGAAGTCTCAGCCTAATGGCGAGAGAAACAAAAGCTCAGATAAAGAAACCCATGACCCGGAGAAGGGGAGTGGATTCAAAAAGAAGAAGAGAGGCTAGGGAAAGGGCAAATCACATGTTCCAGAGGGACCTTTCCAGTCAACCTGAATTTCCAGTTGATACCGTCATAGACTGTGCGGCAAAGCAAGGCCTGATCACAATCCCTGTGGGACGTAACATCGTCAACACTCAAACTTCCAGGGGTAAGTTTTGTAAAATCCACAGAAGCGATACCCATGAGACCGACGAATGTTACTTCCTAGAAAAATATGTGGAAAAGATGGCCCGCGACGGACAGTTGGATCAACTCATGAAAAAAGTTCGGCAGAATCAAGACCACAAGAAAAGGAACACCTGGAGCCGGGGAAAAGACGAGCCAACCTCTACATCTAAGAAAAGGGAGGTTGGAGCCCAATTCGAGGATGAAGAAGAGGGGGAAGATTCAGACCGAAAGAAGCGCCCGCATGTCAACCAGATCTACGGCGGACCTGTGGGAGGAGATACGGCGGCAAAAAGGAAAAAATGGAATCGCCAACTCTTTGTGGGAGAGATCAGCCGCCTTCCTGCATACAAAAAGCAGAAAACGGGAGTCTATTGTATTCACGGACGATGACTTTCCACCATGTCCTCCACCACACAGAGACGCATTAATGATAAAGATGGAGGTTCTTGATACCATTGTCCACCGAGTCCTTGTGGATAATGGGAGTTCAGTAAACATTCTGCACATGAAAACTCTTCAGGAGATTGGCCTTCAAAAGGCAGACCTAAAACTGGTCAAAACCCCACTGTCAGGATTCACATGAGATACCATTGAGCCTGAGGGGGTTATCACCCTCAAGATCCAGCTCGGACAGAACCCTGTGTAAGGACTGTCGAGACAGATTTTGTGGTTGTGCGGTTGCCAAGTGTACACAAAGCAATTCTTGGCCGACCTCTTCTGGAAGACCTGGGGGCAATCATTTCCCAGGCTCATTTGTGCCTAAAATTCTACACCCCAACAGGAGTGGGCACAATGAGGGGAGACCAAAAAATGGCCAGAAATTGTGTTAGAACTTTTATTGTGGGTCAAGTTTGTCTGTAATGTCTTGTTTAATAAAGTAGACTAGTTATACCATTTATGGTATTAGATTAGTATTTATTATGTAATAAATAAGGTAAAGGGAATAAGGCCCAAAAAGGCCTTGGCCCAACTTCCAAGGTTTACCTAAATCGGTAACCTGTACAGCGCCTATAAATATGCGCCTTGTGTACATGTACCGATATCGATCAATACACATTAGCCTTACGCTGCTCAAATACTTCTCGATATAATAGAAAGAAGATTTCTCTGTTCTCGATAACATCTAATATCATTCTGTGAAATCTTTCTTTCTGTTTATCTACAAATACCATCTAGCTGATCGTTAGTCTGCATAAACTGGGACCATCAACTGGTATCAGAGCCTGCTCGAGTGTGATCGTAGAAGAAAAGTTTTTGAAGTTTCTCTGTTTTTCATACTTTTCGATATACCTCTTTGTAATCACTGTAATCTTGTTTCTGATCGATAAACTGTAAAAGTTATACCATTGGATTCGCCATTCAGAAACGAACCAAGGGTATATCTTACTTTTCGATTTCAGTAGATTCGGTATTTTTGATTTCTCGATAGTATGAGTTCGAAAAGCAGGGTTCTCGACATTTAAGCAGGTTTTTCAGGACGAAAACTATACAGGAAGACTCTCGAGATCGAAAACTTCACAGAAAAGTTGTTTAAACTGTTTAAATCTGAACTTTTGATTTGCAGGATTTCGATACTACGTTCTCGATACAAGTTCTCGAACTGAGTTCTCGAGATTGCTTTCTCGATACTCAGTTTTCGATACTAAATATCTAAAACTCTGTTTTTCGAATTGCAGGTTCTCGATACAGCTTCTCGACACTCAGTTCTCGAAACTAAGTTCTCGAACTTAGCTTCTCGATACTGAAGTTCTCGATACAGCTTCTCGAATCCTGCTTCTCGATAAACAGGTTCTCGATACTCACTATCGAAAACTGGTTCTCGATAGAACTTCTTGATCCCTAGTTTTCGATTTTTTTTCTTGAATTAGGTTTTCGACATTCTGCATCTTAAATTTTTTTTCTGATCAAAACACTCGACCGATCTGTTAAGGCTCAATCAGCAAAGATGGAAGCATTAGCACTTGGAAATGACAATAGACCACCCATCCTCAGAAAAGGAGAATATCAGATGTGGAAGACAAGATTCTTGAACTTTCTGGAAGGAAAAGATAATTCATCTGCCATGCTTGAATCGCTCACACAAGGTCCTGCTGAGATCTATACAGAAGTAGATACCTCAGATGTAAACAACCCCCCTGTTAACTTTGTGAAAAGACTGAAGACAAAAGGCGAATACACTGAAGCTGACAAGTTGAGAATCAAAGCTGATCTCATGGCAAAAACATATCTGCTGCAAGCTATCCCCAATGATATCTACATTCTGATTGATAGCATGGAGACTGCTAAAGAGATGTGGGATGAAGTAAAGAAGCTGATGATCGGAACTGATCTTGGACAGAAGACGAAGAAAGCAAACATCTTAACTGCTTATGATGCGTTCAAGGCTGCACCAGGGGAGGCGCTCCATGAAACGTATAACAGATTTGTGCAACTGATCAACGAGATGAGGAAGATCAAGGTTGTAAAATCGAACATGGAGATAAATATACGTTTCTTGTCGAGCCTGCCCCCTGAGTGGAAAAGAACTGTAAAGAACCTGAGACAACACTTGGACTTAGATGAACTAGATCTCTGTACACTTCATGAGCATCTTCAGCAGTTTGTGAATGACACTGCTGAGATGGAAGGAAGCTTTTCTGCTAATCCTTTAGCACTCATGATTGAAGCTAAATCAAAGAGTTCATCTAAGGG